ATAAAATTACCAGGAAGAGTGATTTCTTTGGATTTCTTCCCTGGCCTCATCCTCTTTTAACACTTGCACTTTAGGTACCAACACCCTCACAAGAGAAGAGACACTGGTCACAAAGTTTTGTGATGTGATATTTATATAAACAAAGACAATTACCCTGCCTTACACTTTGCTTTAAAGTATTCTACACGCCTATTCTTTTATACTCTATTAGGGAAAAAAATGTAAATCCATGTTAGTTTATTTTGCTGATCAGAGCAGGGACTGGAAACTGGTCAGGGCACATTTGCTCTTCAACGTAAAGACAATACCAGCAAATAGAGAATCTCGATTTAACGAGCTTCTGACAGATTAAGTTTCCTAAGAGAAATAAATTTGGCCAGTAACACCCAGAACGTAACCCAAATACTCCGGAAACCATTTGCTATCAAATCAGCAATCAAACAATCCAGAACTTGTTATGGTTTAAACTGCCTTAAACACAAGCAAATGACCACATTCTCTTTTTTACATTCTCTTCATTCCCAGATTTTCCACGAGCTCTATTTACACTAGAGCAAGTCAGATAACAAAATGGACAGCACCACCGTAATGCTCAATTTTGCCATGGTTCCTTACGGGGCAGGAAGTTTTCAGAAAGGCTGTGCATTCCTTTACCTTGCATCACAATAAAAAGCTCATACAAAAATCTGTTTACCTGGTATTTGATCCTTCTCAGGCTACAATTTCAGTAACTGTGATAAAACTATTGAGCCCCGAAAGCTGTTCAATTCATATGTTAAGCAACCTCCTCACAACACTGCCACCTTCTCAAACTTCACCGTCGGTCTGGTTTGTGAGGAGTACCTTTGTTTTTGCAGTACAGATCCACCAAAGCCACAGATCTTCTCTCCCTTCCAGGTTACTCTGCATACGCCTAAAGCTCAACGGTAAGAATCACTCCCAGCATACTTTCTAAAGTTATGGAAATTCTTAATTCACATGTAAGAGAAAATATTTGCTTAAAAATTCAGAATTTTAAAAACATTAACTAGTCCCTCATGTTTACAATGCCTGAATTTCACTACTCACAAAACCGTATTTTCACACAGATGGCCAAAAATCTGCTTCCTTCCACGAGCCCCTGCCCTTGTTTGGTCCCCTCTCCCCGGCCAGCAGCCCAGCACCCCCCTCCCTAACGCCGAGGGTCCCAGGCCAGGACCGACACCTCCGGCTCCCTGAAAAAACGGGGCTCCCGCCAGCGGGTCACAGCGCCCGCACGCCGCAGCCCTCGCTCACATGCCAGCGCACATGCCCATCAGCCGCCCAAAGCCAGGCACCGCCACCAAGAGTCTGTCGCACACCAACACAGACCACTTCGGATCCATTAACTGGAACTTCTCTTTAACCGGGCTGATGACAACGGACAACCTGCACGTTTCAAACCTCTGCTTTCCCTCCCGAACTAAACTGGACAGCTGGTTCAGGAGCTATGGTGAGTGGGCAGACAGGTGGATACAGAACATAAAGGCATAAGCCTTTAAATGAGATACGAAATTGGCTCCAAACTGCAAGAAAGTGTAAAAACACTCAACAGAAGTCCTGTGACATGAGTGAGCCAGGAACCACGTGGCTACCTTCAAACCTGAAAAAACCTCTAGTAATTGTTTAAAAACAGAACACAACGAATCAACAGCTACCAGCTTCTTAAGCCGATTTGCTCAGTAGCATCTCCCTCTGCAATACCAAATGCATAACAGAGTGGCGCAGATCATCTCGGGTGCCATCACACAGCACGCACAGCACAACCAGGCCCAGCCAGCACGGGTTTATGAAAGGTCCTACTTGACTAACCTGATCTCCAATGACAAGGTGACCCGCTTAGTGGATGAGGGAAAGGATATGGATGGTATTT